ATGAGGAAGTATTAAAAAAAAAAACTTCAAAGGTTTATGTCACTAGATGCCAGCACAAATTGTTTGATCTAGGCGTCAATCCATGACGTTAAACTAAAGAGAAAGAGAGCCGCAACTCGATTAGTGCAGGGTAGTTTTTGAATAAATTTATTGTTTTATTTGTATAGAGGAAAATGGAAACTAACATAATGGAAGTGAGCACAGAGGTTTTTTTTAAAGGACAATGGGCGTTCTGTCCCATTAGCAGCCAGTAATGAAAGTGATATCAATCGAAAGGGGGGCTAATAAAGAACAACTTCGGTTAAGAAAGTACACCTTTATTCCATTTGAGAAAAAAGGTACTTACATCCTAGTGCTTATATATTCATATTTTGTACATATCCTTACATACATATCCTAAAATAATAATTACCTTAATTACTAAACATTGTTACTTAGAACTTGTTTCTACCTGTTTAGAAAATCATGCGCACGCCGCTTGCATGTGGGGTTTAAACAGGTAGAAACAACTAACCAATCAGCGACGAGCGCACTTAACGCCGGCGGCCCTGACCAATCAGCGACGAGCTCATGATATGATGTGGTCAGGTGATGAAAGCCTGCGACCGTTGCAGTCTTACGTTTAAGCTTGTTTCGTTGTGTACTGTGCGATTTACGTACCCAGTTTTCAAATCTAATTGCCTACCGGACTTGTTTCATCTCACTTTGTTGACCTGTGCTTGTTTCTGGATTTTGTAAGCTTTGTGAATTGGATTTTGTGAACCATGGCAGATAATTGTCGTCTATGTGTTTTGTGCAATCGCTCTGTTATAAACAGAAGAAGATTTGAAATAACACATGCTCTGTTTGAAGCGAACCCTTCGATAGCCCAATATATTATTGAGGCTATGGCTCCTGAATACCAGGTTAGTATTACAAAATGAATAAACACATGTGTTTGTCCTGGGTGGGAACCGAACCTGCGACCCCTGGCGCAAATAATAATAATAATATCGAACCCGGGACCTCTGAGAAAGCGTCACCTTGAAAACCGATATGTACGCCTCTCGGCTACGGAGGTCGGCAAAGGACAGAGTCACTACCAAATGCGTCATCGAACCGGTCATATTGTTTTTTACGAGTCGCCATAACTAAGCTTGTGCCTATGGCAATGCTCTAAAAGTGGATTTTTTTCCAGCTGCAGTTCAACGAGCAAGAATTCATCTGTCGACCATGCTGGCAACGAGCAGAAAGCTACTCAGCATCATCAACGGCCGCACGAATGTGCATTACAAATAGAAGAATATTCGAGAGTCCCAAATACGGCTACATGTTGTTTGTTTGAGAACTGCCGCAGATCAACACTGCGTCGAATCCCGGATAATGTCAAAATAACCTTTTTGATACATTTTAATTTCTACATACCCGATAGCGCAAGGGTATGCGCTCATCATATAGAGTCCAATGACTGGGACCAAGTAATTGACAGTCCGAACTTGCTCCACGATTTTAATGCTACCCATTTTGTGCACATGATGAACTTGATGAAGACTGCAGCGCTTCGAGGATCAATAATAGACTTTGATCGGATAGAAGAAATGCACGACAATGAAGTATATATTAGAACTGGTATTAGTCGTGAACAATTTATGGAGATACTACAACTAACGCCTTCATTGTCAAATGAATCAACTCGTCCAAAGTTAGCGATGGCTGGTTTTCTAATGAAGCTACGAAGCGGTGAAACAAACGAACGACTGGCGGCTCTTTTTAATGTGAGTCGACGAACCTTTGAAAGGCACCTCAATGCAGCTCGAGAGTGCCTGTACTCAGAATTTGTACCCCGACATTTGGGCTACAATCACATAAGTAGGAGAGAGGTAGCTCAAAGGAACCTCTTAGTTCCTAACAGTATCTTCGGCAGCCCTGGATCAGAAGAAAGAAAACCAGTGGTGATATGTGACGCTACGTATATTTATATTCAAAAATCTTCTTATTATGTATTCCAAAGACAATCATATAGTCTACATAAATTCACCTGTTGTTGAAGCCATTTATTATGGTTTGCTGCGATGGACATATCATAGATGTATTTGGACCCTATGCAGCCACCGAGTCGGATGCAACCATCATGAAAAATATGATAGAAAAAGTAGACGATGGTTTCCACTGGTTCTTCGAACAGGGAGATGTATTCGTCTTAGATCGAGGATTCCGTGATGTCATAGACGATCTCGAAGCTTACGGCTATGAGGCTCATATGCCAAAAACAAAAAACAGGAATGAGGACCAATTAACAACCGAACAAGCTAATAAAACTAGGTTGGTTACTATATGTCGGTGGGTCGTGGAAGTTATTAACGGTTGGTTCAAACGTGATTTCAAACTGTTCAGACAAGTTTTTTTTAACAGAGCACTGCTGCATATGATGAAAGATTTCAAAATAGCAGCTGCGCTACTCAATGCATACCGGGTACCACTAGAAGATAGTGTACACGCCGAGACATTTGTTAATATAATTAATGAGCGTTTAAACCAACCAAACATCCTTTCGGAATATGTCGTGACAAATAATTTAAATCGCCGACGAGCTACGTTTGACAGCATCACAGGAACTCATCCGAATTTAAGTGACTTCCCGACGTTGACCGAAGAAGATCTAGTGATATTCGCGCTCGGCACATACCAAGTCAAACTGGCACGCAGTTATTACGCAGAGCATGTTCGACAAGGCTTGTTTAACATAGAGGTGTACAGAGATCAAGATACAGCAGGCCTAACCGAATACGGAATTACATCTGCAGAAGTTTGGCTTCTGCACTGCCGCAAACAATCAAGACATGTGAGATCCAAAATATGTTATTCTTATATTCTAGTAGACATGGAAAGAAATGGTCAACATGCTCTGGATAATTATTACTGTAGTTGCCTCAGTGGTAAGCGGACACTGGGCTGCTGCGCCCACGTCATGTGTGTCGTGTGGTATTTAGGGTGGGCTAGAAACCAAGATCACGATATTGCTTTGCCTGCCGATTTTCTAAATGATGTAATTGTTGACGATGTTTAAAAATAAATATTTTTCATAATTACATTTTGTCTTACTCATCCTACAATCAAAACCTATATGCAATATAACATATTACAATAAATGACATTCATTTTATTAATGATAAATGCTTAAACGCACGTTGCACAGTAATATTCAACTTTTTTACTACATTCGCCTGTTATATCTTATCCGCAATAACTTTTGTCTCAAATGGCCTGCAATGATAAGCTATTATATTTTTATTCTGTACATATTTATGTAACAAAAAATAAATAGGTCTTTAATGGCTGCCAATGGGACAAGCCCCATACGAATTTGCCCATTGTCCTTTATGGAAATCAATTGAATTAATGCAGTGATATAAATAAAGGTGGCATTTGGCTACGGTATGCAATATTACCGCCAAATAGTTTTTGTGAATAAAATACTTATGCCATAGTAGGTCTGGGAATTTTTATTACAGTATTTAACAATGGTTCTAAAAACAATAGCAGCCGGGTGGGTTAGTTTTGTTGCTATTGTTTGTTTGTTGAACTTACAACAACGAAACTGCATCAAGTTTCGATAATATCTTTATATCGATACCGGAAATATCAATTAATGTAAGGGACATACCACGGTTTTTCAGGAGAGCTAAAAAACGATTTCACTTTCCGTAATCTGTCTATATCTTTTAATTGTTTGGTCCGATTTAGACGATATCTAGGGCAAAGTTTCTTAGATTTTTGCATTCTTTAATGCTATAGAATCAAAATATAAGAAAAGTTTCTATTTTACGAGATAGCTTGTCCCTTACGTTAAAAAAAATATTTACATGTGCCTTACACTACTTTTATTTGACTTGGGAGCTGTGACAAAATAATGCAGGAAACATAAAGATATTAAAAACTTATATCAGTTTAATGTAAAGGCTCCTAGAGCTATTTTAATGTAAAGGTAAAGGACTTTTCGAAATGAATACAGGATTTACCTTTCACAAGTATAATTTGATATCAATTAGGAAGCTTATTGTCATTGAATTAAGATCTATGGTTTAGTTACACTCGTGCTATTAACAGTTTACCAATAATATCTAAGCGTGTACCTATTTTATTTTAACAGCTAGTATGATTATAATTATTTTATAAATTAAACTAACTATACATTTGTGTATTTTTTTATTGTTTCAACATCAATCATCAAAATCGTTATTTTAATAGATACAGACATTTTTCTATCTGTAAACAAAAGTTTTCATTGTTTTATTAGAATACTATTTTAGCTGACAGGTAAAAATCTTCTTACTATAAACCAAAATTAAATCGAACAAAATTTTGCTAGAAACAAGATTTATCTTAAAATATTGTATCATTAAACTGCACTTCTTACAAATTTATTAATACTTAAATATCTTGTAAATCAACACTGTTATTGGTTTAAAATAACATTATTATAAAGATAGAGTATTTAACTGTCTTGAATCAACATCTTTTTGTTTAAATATAACATTATTTTAGCAAATAAAATCTTTTACTACCCGTAGAAATATTATAAATACTAACAAAAGTGTGTAAGTACCCAGAATTTAATATAAACAAACCTATAAATTGACAGACAAATTATATCATGATCGTACTCTCTACTTACTAATTCAATACAATCAGGCTTTGGTAATTAACAGGCTTTATTTTAACTTTAATAAATTAGGTAGCCTCCTAACCGGACTGCCTCTTTGTTCACATTGACCGAATTAAAAACTTACTTTTTTTGTCAATTGGATCCTCATAGAGTTACTTAACTGTAAAAGTTTTATGTGATTTTATCTAGCTCTTTTAGCCGGAAGAAATTATACAAAGTAACAAGCATGCACACAATAACATTCTCCTTTTCGATAATAGTTAGTATAAAATTAATGCACCTAGTCAAAGTTTATCCGCATTGTTGTAGCTTATGAGGATTGAATTGAAATAATAAAAATATTTAAGACTATAATTTAGTTTGGTTCATATGATTCATCATTATCCTCGTCATTTTCATCAGTATCATTGAGAACATCGAGGACTTTTGCTTTATTTGGGAGGCGCAAATATTCATCATGGAATCTCTTTGGAATAATACCAGTTTCACATAATTTTTTGAGATCATTATATTTTGCCACTGAAATTGGCAATCGTTCCCTATAAAGGGGTGATAAAATATCATCCGAACTTCTACTTCCTTCTTTATTTTCATTTACTTTATCTGAGTCTTTTTTCTGTTTACCTTTATTTGTCCTCTTTCCTATTCCTTTACCTTTGCCTTTTTCATGCATTTGTCTGGAGAGATTAATATTATAAGTGGTACCATTTTCATGCATTGTATATTTCACTTGCATATGAGCCAATGCAGATTTTTTAAAAGTGCACACTCTTATTTGTTTCATACGCAGATCTTTGTTTTTAAGGGTTGCTGGAGTAAATATGGTATCCGATAGATTATTAAAGTTTATAAAATCTGTATGTTCTAATACCTCTACAGAATAAGGCTTTGGGCGCTTTCTGGCAGTCTCCATAAACGTGGCCCATTGAGATGGTGCCCAAATAATCAAATTTTTTACTTCCCTTTTAATGACAGCGTGCATACTATCGACCGGCATATATGTATGGCCAGGAAGGAGGTAGTTTATTTGTATTGTTTGTAGATTTTGAGATGTTTGCAGGAAATATTTGAACAGGGATAAAATCACTCTATTTTTATTCTGTCCCGTACAGTTATCACAGTAAAATATTAATGTTTTTACTCCTCTGTTATCAACTTCTTTTAAATAACGAGTAAGGCATGTTGCTATTTCACAACTTCCTCTTTTACCGTCTCCTTCCCCCCATGTATAGCAATATCCATTTTGTGTTTTACACTCGTATACTGTAAAATTATATACAGCATACTTTCGTGAATAGTACAACATCATGCTTTCCCCGTGAGGTGTTGCTAAAACCTTTTGGAGGTCGAAACTAGCCACAACTAACGCCTGATCCGATTTCAAATTTCGATGAATGTGAAGACGTTTGTATGTAGCCTCTTTCTCCATTAAGTGTTCCTGCAATTGTTCATTAGTCGTTGAATCCGGATTATTTTCATTTTTAGTACAGATAGAACACTTATCTTTCTTGGGGACATGAAACGCAAAATTATATTCTCTAAACATTATCGAAAACATCTTTTCACTTAAACACTTTATGGATAACCGTTCAGAGTGTTTAACGTACAGTCTATATAAGTTTGATAAGTTCTTGAACTGTTCAGGTAAGTACAATTTATTTGATTTTTTCCTGCTGTAGTGAGACGGTAAAGCTGGCAAAGTTTCTATGTACTTTTTTGCGTCTAATTTTGTATTTTCATCGTATTTGTCAGGTGCGGTACGTGTTCTAGATTCATGGGTTGATAATCCTTCGGTTGCATGGTTTACTGTATATAGTAGATATGTTTGAGATATATCCAGTGTCTTTAGAATGAATTGCTGGCAAACTTGCCTGCGTCCCTCACCTTCATTAATAAAATATTCATGAGACAAAGATCTCCTGCTTATTATATTTTTTGTCTTTTTGCGTTTTATATCTATTACTCTAGAGCATTGTACTAACCAATCTCTTTTTTTTGTATCATCAAGTGCCCAAAAATAATCAAAAAGAGATTTTCGTCTATCTTCTGTTATTTCAAAACATTTTCTGACACATTTTTGTTCCTTACAAGGATTTCCGCGTAATTTTCGGGCTTCTTTTAGTTTTCCAGATGTTGTTGCATAAGCTAAACCTTTTTCTTTTAGAGTTTTTCTTGTTTCCCGTTTATTTTCAGGTTTTCTTTTTTTTATTGGTACTATTTGTCTATCTAGTTTTGTCGTTTTTGTAAGTTTTTTAGACTTCGTTTTCTTTCTTTTCCTCTTTTGATTATTTTCTTCATCTGAATCAACCGAAATCTCTTTTTCTGACCATAAGTCCGAGCTTCCCGAAGAAAAATCATTGTTTTCTTCTTCTGAATAAAAATCCATGCATGACTTTGCAAATTTTGATGTTAACCGTTGTCTTTTAGCAGTTCTTTTTGTATTGTTATTTTCGTCACTACTAAGTGGAACATCCTGAGAAGTGATAGTTGGTTTCAAGACAATATTTTGTTGCTCATGTTCTATTTCATTTATTTCAGGACATAATTTTTTTTGCTCTTGAGGGACTTCTATATTGTTTTCAGGGATATCTACTTCACAGGTATCTAAAGCAAGTCTTGGCTCCGTTGTATGCTGTAGTGTCTGTATATTCTCATCTTTGTTTGTATGGTTTAATTCAAGTTCAATATTATTTGGAATGACAAAGGTATCTAAGTCAGATGCATCAGCGTCTATATCAATGTTTAGAAGTGATATGTCTTGTATATTGTCTTTTTCATTCGGGTGCCTTACTTCTTGTATTGTATCGCACATTGACGTGATTTTAGAATTAGATGCATCGATTTCTAAAACAAGTAGGGGAGACAGTGTCTGCATATTCTCAACCACCTCTTTATGACAAATCTCACGTGCGTGTGATACTACAAAACTATCAGAGTTGATTGAAGTAGATCCCGCTTCTATTCCAATATTATTAGCATGTGGTTCTTCATTTTGAATAATATTTAATGCTTCTGATTTGTACAAAAATGATTTTTCATGGTTATCTTCATTAATATTGGAAAAATTGTCATCTTGCTTATTAAAAAATAAATTTAAGCGAGGTAGGGAAATGGTCGATGTCCTTATGACGTCATTTTCAGAACTCCTAGTAATCAAAGGCACTTCTCCTTCTGATTCGCTGCATTCTATAAAACTTTCTGATGAATTAATTTTTTCTTTGATTGACCTAAAAAGAAACTCATATTATTCAACGTCGTAAGGGACACTTATCATAAAACATTGGTCGACATTTTAATGTAACGGATATATGGCATAGACTTCAATTCCCCATTAGTCGACATTTTAATGTAACGGACATGTTGTAAAGATATGAATTCTTAACGTAATCTTCTATTACTTATTGGCTTATATTATAGATATAATTATTTAATACACTGATTTGAATCCGTTATATTAAGTGGTTTTTTATAGTTTCATTATAAACAATAACTATATGCAACTTACACTAAAGAATTATTGAATGAAATGAGATTATTATTGAAACGCATACGCTCCTTACGTTTATGTTGCCTGAAACTTCGTTGGCATCAAACAAAATCTATAAAGTTTACGTGCTTATACAGACAAAATTCTTTACTACTTATTATTGTTTATACCAATTTTCTTCCAAATCCGTTAACACGTTATAATTTTAAAAATTAAATTAAAATGGATAATTATTGCGTACAACCATGTACTTAAATAACAACTAAACAGTAAAATAAAGTTGCACTTTCGCCCCAAGGCAATCTCATTATAAGGTACACGCTGAGCGATTAATTCTTGAGTGTGAAAAATACACATTATCAAACTAACAAGGTTTAACTCTTTGAAAGTAAGAATTTAATAACTCACCTCTGAATAATTCTCTTCATATTCATCAGCTTTTCTTTTCGAACAAGAAGGGCACACAGTTTTAACTTGTCATTCTCACACATTATTAAAATCTGTTCCAATAACCTAAATCTAAAACACTTATATTTATTGACTAATAATCCAGCTCATAACAGACGCACGCGCGGATTGCGATGACAGAATCAAAACAAATGCCGGCATGCCGGCAGCGACCTGTTCGTTCCTGCTTCCCCCGCTCTCACCGCTCTCACGCTATCTCGCTCACACAAATATGATTTTGAATCTGTTAACAATGATAGTGTAGGTGCACTTATTTGTATATTTTTTTAAAACCAACTAATGTAAGGTACAAATTTTACAAATATATTTTCCGTGCAAATGATGTAAAGGCTAAGTTCAAAATTTAATTAATACAAGTCTTATGTAAGAGACATATTTATTTATAAATTGAGATACCTTATTGAGCTTATTAGAGAGGATAAAAAACGTCCTTTAAATTATTTTTTTCTTTTAAAATGTGTTTAGCCCATCAAAAAATCTTACTGTAAGGGTCCTTTTTTTGAAAGATATCGTAATTTCAAGTATACCAGTCGATGGAGCGGAACGAGCCGATTTCAATGATATATATAACTCATTTTGCCCAAAATGTCCCTTACCTTAATTGATATTTCCGGTATCGATATTATGTATGGTGAATGGATTAATAGGGCTTATTAATCATCGGTAAGGGTCATAAAAACGATAATTATAGTAAAAAATCCGTTTATTATCTATATACTTACCCGATATGTATTAGATATACTATGTATTTGTGCGAGATGGCATGACTTCTGGCTGAAATGACGTTTGTGCGGGGTGTAGCGTGCGGATAACTTGTGCTTTCGAAATTAATACTTTAAAAAACTGTGATCAGTTATTAAATCTTATATTCATGGTCATCTTAATAAACATTCAGCAGTCGGCAAGAGACGTCTGTTCTAAACGAACAGCAATGTTGTTCGTTTAGAACAGATGTTCCATTTGTACTCTTTATAGACAAGGTAACTCTACTCAACAAGAAGAAATACAGGAAAATTATGATAGACACCAAAAAAACAAGAACCGAGTACGTCAAATAAAAGCAGAAGAAAAAAAATCAGCGAATCCCTTGCTCACAACAATAGCTATTTTCGATTTAGAAAAAGTACTGAACATTCCACAATCGCAGGTAGGAATATTTCATTACAAAAGAAAATATCCTATATATAATTTTACCGTATATGATTCTACTCGGGGTAAAGGTTATTGCTTTATATGGCACTATCAAATCGCGAAAAGAGGTGCTATAGAAATAGGGAGCTGTTTATGGCATTTCTTATTAAACGAGAAAGATAATGGTATCGAAAATATTGACGACCATGATGTAAGGCAGATCCGGCAAACTGGCGGCAAAATTGATCTTTTATGATTATAAATTAAAATTCTTATTATTATTGAAATTGTTAGATTAAATTAATATTATTATTGAAATTAATTAGTTTAAATCGTTGTTACTTTATTAATATTAAAAATTAGCTAATAACTACAAAATAAATAAATAATTATGGTGTAAATTGACGGAAGTGTGTTTGGCTTAAAAATCATAATTAAATTTTCTAATTAACTATATAAAACATGCAACTATGTAAATTATCTGCAACATACTATCTCAGTAATTCTTGTTATTAATTATTTAAACATTATATTCACACTCCATCAAAGTCAAAGTCAAAGTCAAAATAATCTTTATTCAAATAGACTTCTTAAAAGTACTTTTGAATCGTCCAACATTTTTTCCCTACCACTCGTTCAGGACGTCTTTTGGCTGATAAGAAGAACGAGCAAGAAACTCACCAGCTCTAATAAGAGTAATGACATTTACAAAAACCATGTCATTACCAGATCATTACATTATAAACAGAGATAAAAAAAAACTATGGTCTTATAATAATAACATAATCATTTAATAATAATGGAAACAAGATAATGAGTTTAGAAGTAATCACCTATCCAGTTGCTGGATCATCTCAAGTCCAAGCGTTCTTATCTGTTATATAATCGGATACCTTATAATAAGCTTTTTTAATAAGTATTTTTTTAATAGTAGATTTAAACTGCATGATATCTAATTGTTGTAATTTGCTTGGGACCTTATTGTAGAAGCGCACACAAAGACCCTTGAATGAGTTATTAACTTTTTGCAGTCTAGTGACAGGGACCGTTAATTTATTTTTATTTCTTGTATTAAAATTGTGTACATCACTTTTTATAGAAAACAAACTAATATTTTTACGAACGTACATTAAGTTCTCGTATATGTATTGAGAAGCAACAGTCATAATGTCTATTTCCTTAAATTTCTCCCTTAAAGAGTCCCTAATCCTAAGATTATAAATTGATCGAATTGCTCTTTTCTGAAGCACAAAAATTGTTTTTATGTCGGCAGCATTTCCCCACAATAGGATACCGTACGAAATAACACTATGAAAGTAACTGAAGTATACTAATCTGGCAGTATCTATGTCAGTTAACCTACGTATCTTCATTACGGCATATGCTGCAGAGCTAAGTCTACTCGACAATCTATCAATATGTGGGCCCCACTGTAGTTAAGAATCTAATGTTATTCCTAAAAATACTGTGGTATCCACAAGGCCCATGTTCTTATCTTTTATATTAACATTTATATCTACCTCTTTTTACATTAGGTAGTACAAATTTTAAGCATTTTGTTTTTCCTTCAATAAGCAGAAGATTATTTACATTAAACCAATGTACTACTTTAGCGATAGAATTGTTCACATCGTCATTTAGAGGTAACCCTCTTTTAATTTTAAACAAGAGTGAAGTGTCATCTGCAAACAAAACAAGAAAGGACCAAGTATTGAGCCCTGCGGAACGCCCATCTTAATTTTCGATCCAGGGGATCTTTTGCCATTGATATCAACCGTCTGTACTCTGTCAGTCAAGTATGAGACAATAAAATCCAATGAGTTATCTCTAAATCCATAAAAATGCAGTTTCCTGATCAATGTTTCATGAAAAACACAATCAAATGCCTTAGATAGGTCACAGAAAACACCTAACGCATCATATGAATCCTCCCAGGCATTAAAAATTTCTTGTATTAACTCGACACCGGCTTCGGTTGTCGAGCGACCCCTTGTAAAACCAAATTGTTGTCGATTCATAAGCTTATTCTTGTAAAAGTACTTTTGTATTTGATCCAGCATGATTTTTTTCAAAAATCTTACTAAACGTAGGTAGCACGGATATAGGTCTAAAGTTAGTAGGGTCAGATGTGCTACCCGATTTATGTAAAGAAATAATTTTACTATATTTCATGAGCTCTGGAAAAATACCACAATCAGTACATTCATTAAATATATATGCTAAGATTGGAGCTATTGTCTCAATTACCGATTTAGAAACTTCAATGGAATTACCCCATAAGTCAGCAGTTTTCGTTTTCTTTAGCGGATTAAAAGATTTTATTATATCTTTAAAATCAATGTGTTGAAATTTAAATTGACTATTAGAATTATTTAAACTTGCCTTTAAAATAGATTCAGCAACAGTGGAAGAGGAATTCAAAGATTGTGTAATTAAGACTGGAATTTCAGTAAATAAATTTTCAAATACTGTAGCAACTTCAAGATTTGATGTTACTTTTTTATTATCAATGTTTAGATTTTTCTCTTCCAGTTTCACTATTTATGATATTCCACGTCATTTTAACTTTGTCTTTACTATTTTCAATTTTTGCATTTAAATAATTACATTTGGCTAAACGACACTATTATTATAAAAAATATACTATTGGTGTGAAAAGAATAAAAAAAAAAATTATATTTCTTAGTAGCTGGTAAAGTAAATTTTAATGGACTGTATATTTAAATTATTTTTGGTGTGCCAAAAAATACAAAGGAAAAAAAAACAACTGATCTATTATGACGGCTGTTAGGTAAGAATAAGTTGCCTTTAGGATATTAAAAAGGGGAAAAAATAGAAAGACAACTGGAAAACTGGATGGAAATATGCACTCACTCTGGTTGTTGTTTGATACTGCAAACTCATCCACCAGTTCAATGGCGGTCGAAGTCCTAAAAGCACGTGCTCAGCCAATTGTCTTCAACACTGTTAATCTTCACTAAGTAGCACACTCTTGTAAACAACACATTCTTAATAACTTAGGCTTCATAAGAACATAACACTCACGACGAATAAAGTATTCAAAAAAAAACTTGACACAGCGCAAGCGATGCGCTCCGAGAGAGTTCAATTATTAGACTAGACGTGCATATTATGATAAGGAAGTGGGTAGGAAACGTAAAACAGCTGTCATAAATTTATAAAATTATTAAAGCACACCTTCATAGCAACAAAAACCAACATTCCCCCGCCCTTGAAGAATTCCCTTCAAAGTTAAAAATAATAATAAATAGCACATAACTCTTAACTAAATGCTACAAATTTACCCTACATAATAATATACCCGAATAAAAAAAAATATATATATATTGGGTTGGCACAAAAGTAATGAGACACACTAGAAAAATCTATAACATTTCCTTTTTAAAATCAATTTTTTCGATAATATTCTAGAATGTTGTAGAACATTCTAGGTACTTCTGGTGTAGGGTATATAAAGCCGCGCTCGCGATTTGTTTAGTCAGTTTGAAGAAAAATGGACGAACGACAAGTTCGAACACTATACTTATACGAGTACTTGTTAGGCCACAGTGCGCGGGATGCGGCTGACAATATCAACAATGCATTAGGCGCTGGAAGTACAAGCCATGCGACGGTGTCCCGATGGTTTGACCGTTTTAAATCAGGCGACAGGAGCCATGAAAGTCAGCCACGCTCAGGGCGACCACCCGCAGTGAATGATGACGATTTGCGCCGCGAACTGCAGTTGAATCCGGATGCTACCACTCGTGAATTAGCGGAAGCACTTAAATGCAGTCACCACGCCGTGGAGATGGCTGCATGAGCTTGGTTATCGAAAAGTTTTGGCTCGGTGGGTACCGCACATCCTTACAGACGCCAGTCGTGCAGTCCG